GCAGTCATGTAATGTGATGTACAAACATTACCTTCATGCTTGTCTTGTCTCAGTGCAGATATCATAATAGGATCATCATTAATAGTCTCCAAGAAAAGAGAAGCTTTCTCATCATTACTAGATGAATCATTTCTTATCTTCTGTAGAACAGGAAGAGACACTTCTTTCACTGACAGTATAAACTCTAACAATTGAAGTGACTCCAACAATGAGTAAACATAATTACTAGGAATGAGTCCCTCATCACCAGACACCAAGGATCTTCCTCTCCACTGAGTGATGTCACCTTTATTGTCAAATATCTCTAGCTGCTCTCCCTTACTGAATGATATTTCGTCACTCCATCTTGGATGATAGTCGTAACGTGCTGTGTATACAGATTTTGCTGTTGGTATATCCACAACCAGTGATTGTGTACACTGATCCTTCTCTATACAATATATCATCAGAAAATGATTTATACTAACGTATCACATACTGTGAGTATTTGCCTTCTGACTCATCAGCAGTTGTACACTAGTTACTGATACATTTTCTTGTAGTAACTCAATCTCTTTCTTATACTCCACTAATGCCTCCTCTCTTCCTGTGATGAGGTAGTATAGACAGATTATATCAGAAGAGTCAGTACCTGCTTTCATTAGGAGAAAGGTTCGGAAATACTGAGTTTCTGATTTCTTTGATTTGAATATTTTATTTACCAACTTCCCTCTAGTCAGTAGCTTCACTTTCGATTTTGACTCTACAGTAATGACACAATGAGAATTTTAATTTTCAGATAATTGTACTGATTGTTCAAATGTTAATACATGTTTCAAGTTAGTACTATACCAGCATTACCTGGTGTCTGTAGTGTCCTTTTGATATACTCTATACAAGTAAAAATATGTTAATAAAATATCATCATCATTCACTAACTATACCTTTTCTTTTTTTGATGATATTCAGTTGTTTATCTTGTTCAAATATTGATCCTATACCATTAGTATAAGTAATATCAGTAATTGAGTAATAGATCAACTATCATACCTTCTTTGTAATCAAGTAAAGTCCTCAGTTCTTGTTTCTCTCCGTCAGCTAGTTTAATCTCCTCTGCAAGACACTCATTATTCTTAACCTATAATCAGTACATAATATTAACTAAGGTCTCATAGTGATACAGTAACAATAT